GTCAGATTGCATTCACTGTTTCTTCTGCTTTCGCTACCTCTGTCTTTCGCTCAAGATTGCATTTGCTGGTTCACCTGCTTACGCTGCCATTATCTTCAAAGAGGAGAGAAATCTTCCTCACTTCTTCATTTCAACAACACTTACCCGCTTCTTATGTCTAGAGAGTTACCCTCTGTTCAGAAGAGTTTCCCAGGGAATTCATGGCTTCCACTGCTTGCCCTGTCAAGCTGATTGTCGGCCTCGACTACGGCACGACGTATTCTGGTAATAAAAAATGCTGTGCTCCTCTCTATATTCGACATCTAATTCAAGAAACAGGACTCGGTTTCGCCCTCTCCACGGCTGCTGATTTCAAGGATATTATCACTTGGACAAAGTACCCCGGCGCCTTTTCCCACAGCGCCGAGCACAGCGTCAAAGCCCCGACACGAATTGCTTTCGCTGAAGAGAATCCCGATCTTAATTGTAATGTTTGGGGATATCAGGTTGAGCCTGGTATGAGATCCTGCTCCCTCACCAAGCTTCTCTTGGACAAGTCCGCTCTCTTGTCAGACTTTGACGACTGCAGCGTGTATGATGCCAGTACTAATGACCTGATGCGCCTTCCCGAGGGCAAGTCAGCCAAAGAAGTCGCGACGGAGTATCTTCGTCAAATGTATAACATGTTTGAAAAGTCAAAAAAAGAGCTCTTTGGTTCGATGAACCTCGATGAGCTACCCGTCGAGTTTTGGCTCACGGTTCCGGCGTCTTGGAGTGAGAAGGCAAAACTTCTCACCAAGGCCGCTGCTATGGAGGCTGGTTTTGGAAATCGGGTCATCGACCGAGTCATGCTGATTTCAGAGCCCGAGGCGGCAGCCCAATACACGCTCAAGTCCAGTTTTCATCATCTGGAAACTTTTGTTCAGGTATGTTTGTGCATTTCAGTACCTTTCAGTGAGTTCTTACAGCGTCCGCAGAAAAATACCGGTGTGATGGTCTGTGACTGTGGTGGCGGAACAGTGGTAAGTTTCTACAAATGCCACGAAAAGAACAGTCTATTGATGCCAATTTTTAAAGGACATCACTACCTATGAAATTGAACAAGTACAACCGCTTCTAAAGCTTCGAGAGATTGCCGTCGGTATTGGTATGCATTTACTTGACCATTCAGCCGCACTATAGGTACTTTAACATCTTGACTGACATTGTACAGCGGGAAAATGCGGCGCAACATATGTGGACAGAAACTTTTTCAAGCTAATGGCTGATCGATTCGGAGAGGCCTTTACCGACCTCGATCCTGAACAGATTGGCCCTGGAAGTACTTTCATGAACCAATTCGAGCAGCGCAAGAAAGATTTCAGCTATGGCAACATCAGCCGAAGAGCACACCGAATCCCACTCTTCATGCCTGCCTTGAAGTACACTTCCAGAACAGAAACCTTTTACGAGAAGCGCTCCTCGTCCATTCTCTTGACTCATGGGGATCTGATGGATATTTTCAGACCGGTTGTCAAAAGAATTCTTCTCTTGATTGAGGATCAAGTCTATCGAACGAAAGAAAAGGGGGAGACGCCTATCGGTACCATTGTACTCGTCGGTGGATTCGCCTCTTCACCGTACCTGAGGGAGTCCATTCAAGACTGGTGCGATGAGAATGAGATGCGCCTGACCACACCAATGTCTGGAGCGTAAGTATTTCTATCCCCTTGTATTAGGTTTTAAAAATAACAGCCATTTAGTTGGTCTGCAATTGTTTGCGGGGCTGTCCTCAGAGGCTTGGAAGGATCCATTGTTCGGGAGAAGAAGTGTCGTAGACACTACGGGACCGAGTTGGGCCAAAGATATATTCCTGCCCAGCATGAGAACTATGACCGTAGCAAGCGGCGTGTCTACATTCATGCATTTTACAACCACGAATACTTGGACGGATTCCTTCATTGGCAAATTAGCAAGGTGCGTTTACTATTAGCTAGATCGGACAATTGCGATACCTAACCCGAAATCACATATAGGGGGAAAAAATCGACAAGGACACGGAGATCAACGTTAATATCTATGCGAGTGTCAAAAGAACTCAGACTCACTCTAGAGAGGTGAAGTTATACTCATGCAACTTGGACACCGCTCCCGAGTCGATCGAGTCTCCCCGTGAGTAATTCGCACCTGTAGACCGTCGCTTGCTCTAACCTAGGAACTCAGGCGTGGAGTTGGTTGGCAAACTCATCTACAATCTGACTGAAGAACATATCTCCAGAGGGAAGAAAAAGATTCACGGAAGTGTCACTTGTTACCGAATCCCGCTTGTGGTCAATGTCAGGCTCAACGATGAGGCAGGCCATCTGGTCTATCGAGTGCTGCAAGATGGCGAGGAAATTGGAAAGGCGAACATTTTGTTGGATGATTAAGATTTGAGTAATATTTATGTGACGCCGGAGACTGCGCTTCAAGTGCGAGTCCTGGTCCGGGGCTGGGATGTCTGGTGTACGGCACGGACGACTTTTTCTCTTGGTGTGCCGACATGTGCGCTCCAGAGATTGACTGAAGCAAAGGCCACGAGCAGATCCTTGACTGCTACACCATTGACCATCCAGGTTGTCGCGCAAGGAGGGTCATGTGGTTGCGTAGTGATGGTCGAGATGTGGTGCTCATGATTGATGGCATGGTGCGATGGTGAATGAAGCTTGTCGCGATGGCTGCAAGTTTACTTTTGGGTGTCTGGTGATGTCCACTATAACCGCAGACTATTACCGCGATTTTATTTACAGAAGTACTCTGAATATCGAGCTGATACGATTCAGCTCGCAAGAATGTCTTTTGTCTTGGCATCTTTGCGAAATGGGTTGACGGTTCGTGAAGTCAGGCGGGCCAAGTTCTGGCAGACCCAACATTGAGCTTCCGAATTACACCTTCTCCTGAACTCCTTGATGTCAGTAGTTATCTAGGCGCGCATAAAAAGGTGTCTCATCCCACAGCGGTTGAAGTACTATTTGTACTTCCTTCACGCCTCTTCGTGCCACCCAACAACAACACGTAGTTGCTGTGCTCACCGTGCACACACGACGCTTCACTTCCACACTGCCCGCTTTCTACTAAATAACAAATACGGTGTCTTCTCCCAACAGACAAATCTCAGCATCGAAAAGGCCCCTCGGCAAAGACCCAACTCTATTTCATCATGTATTTCGCGCCGTCGCCAGAGCATCCGTGTCCAGACCATCTCCTCGACAACCGCACCAAGAGCTTCCAAGCGTCCATCAACCTCGATTTGGTAAAGGACCTGGCCCGCAGACACAATGACGACAAGTTTTGCCGCATATCAGAAGCTGTCCAGCATGGATATTACTTTTCCTGCATAAGTGTCACGTTTCCCGACGAAGGTAAAGAGTGGGTGGTGCGTATTCCGGTGCCGACGACTGTGGACAAGACGTGGGAAATGATTCAGAGTGAAGTGGCGACAACGAGGTATGAGACAAAACCCTCACCAGTTTGGTTTGTAATAATCTTTCTTTACTAACCTATGAAACTAGGTATATCCAGCGTCACACCTCTATTCCAGTTCCCACTGTCCACGCCTACGGAAAAGATGAACGCTTGACCGACGACGACACCACCCTCCAGTCATACATTATTACAGACCGAATTAGTGGTAATCCTCTTTCTTTGGATGATTTACTCGTTCTGAACCGAGAGAAGCGGGCAAGACTCTTTTCTCAGCTCGGTAATGCACTTGCACAGCTGCAGGAGTTGACATTTCCCACCACTGGCTCCTTGTATCCCGATGAAAAAGACGACACAAAAGTTCGCATCGGCCCTTCTCTCTGCCAGTGGGAAGTCGACATTTCCAACCGCGACGGCGTCAAACACGAGCGTCCTCCATTAACCACTGCCTGGGACTCTATCCACCTGCATCTCGGTGCCCTCGCTCGCGGCCCTGCTTTGCGAAAGCTCTTTTACTCTGAGAATGGCCGAGAACGTATTACCCGCGAAATGTTTGCGCTAGACGCCATAACTCGTCACGTCGAGGACAAACGCCACACCTATTGGCGGGAAGACGCCGGCTTCACACTGAACCACTCTGGCCTGTACTACCAAAACATACTTATAGACGGACAAGGCAACATCCAGGGCATCATCAACTAGTCCAAAGCTGAAATTTTGCCTCGCCAGCTCTCCGGCCCGCCAACTTGGATCTTGTGCGTCGGCAACGAGGACAACTGGCAAGAATACGACAATGTCTGGGCCGAGTTCCAAGACGCCATCCACCCAAAACACCCTTACCGTAAGCATCTCCAGTACTACCTGGACAACCTCGAGCACGCGTACTTTGCTACGACGCTGCGCTGGCCGCGCCACATTACCGACGTGTACTTTTGGCGCCGCTTCTACGACACGCAGCACGATAAACCCATTGACGAGCTGCTTGTCGAGTTTTTTGAAAAAGAGCCAGCGCGAAAGATAGAGCTGGAGAGGCGCATCGCAGAGCATAGGGAATATGCGGTCGAGGATATTGGACAGCGTGCTGGCGTGCTGTCTACGGAGCTGCCGAAACTGCTCGAGTTGTATATCAAGGTGAGGGATTTGATTGTGAATGCGACAACGGCGGGGATATTGTGTAAAGAGCCCTGTGCGTCCGACTCTCTTGAGCTTTTGGTTCCTTTGGTCGAGTCTGGGGGCTCGCCTCTGCCATCTGATGACTCTGGCAGATCTGGTAATGCTGCTTTCGTGGCCGACGAGTCGGTTTAGTATAAAAGGTTTGTGGTGTTTGGTGGGTTCTTTGTGCACAACAATGCTTTTGCTCGCTGAGGGTTTTTCTATTCTGCCTATTCTGCCGGTGTTCAATTGTCCTGGTCTTGACTACTTTGCAAATAACCTCGCAAACTCTTGTGTCCTTTCCCCCGCGCTCTTTTACTTTCTTCACGAGCCCTCAAAACAGCAAAAAAAAGTGACTACTTTCACCATCATTTTGCTTTTTAGAAAGAGCCCCGGTCTCCCCTTTCGCCCTCCCATCCATCCATCCACAGTCTCTCCTAGTGCCCGTTTCCGAGCCGCCGCATCAGATCCCTTTGCTGCGACTCGGCGACGGCCTTTCTATTATGCAGCGTCGTCAGGGTGTTTCGAATCTGGTTGAGCGCCGTCGAGTGATTGTTGACCGCCACCGACACCGAGTGCTCGGGCAGTTGGCCGACCGACGTGTACTGCCGCAGACTGAGCATGGCCATGTCGAGCTGCGCGGCCACCTCTTGCTCGTGGCGCCGCCAGTAGTCAATCTCTTGCTCAATCTGCGCAATCTTGGTGGCGAGCGCGGCGATGCGGCTGCGGTCCGACATGGTTATACGAAATCAATGGTTGTTGCTTCCAGTTTGGTAGGAACGGCTAATGCAGGACTTTAGTATCAAGTAGTAGCCAAGATGGCACGACAATTGTACAACCAGTTTGACCCATACCTTGTTGTATTTTGTATATCTCGAGAGATTAAAAAGATTCTGCAGCTTGTAAAAGATTGTTTGTATTGTCTTTGAGTCTAGTTTTTCAATTTCCCTCCTCATTGTCAGAAACCGTTCAATTGGCCGCCTGTACTTATACATCATGGCCTGTCTACAACCAGCGCCCGACGCCGTGCAACTCGAAAGCGAACGGAAAAAGTTTTTTTTTCTTCATGGTGGTGTTTTTGTGAGGCGGTCAAAATAGATTTTCTTTTTGGATGTGGAACATTTTTCAACCTGTAGAAACTGACTTGGCATCATGCCACACAAGAAAAAAGGCAGACAAAATCATTGCCCGAGCAAACCAAACAACCTGTACCGATGCATCATCCAGTGCTGCCCAGTACCACCACTACAAGTCGGTTCGCGATGTTTGCCCACCGGCGTTCCTTGCTGCTTTACACTCCAATAGCGCAAGAAGAAAAAAATGAGGCTGAAACACACCTCCCCCTCCTCCCCTGTCGTGACACATTTGCGCCTGCCTGCCAGTACGGATAGTGTCCCGTTGGGTAGGCTTGCAGACCGTTTACTTATGCATGCGTCAAGACGTGCACAAAGGTGTCGGCCGAGGGGAGCACATTGCCCGGAGGCTTGACTCGATAGTTGGGCAGACATGGAACATGATATATATCTTTGTTCAATCTCGGGTGGACGCAGGGGTCATGTGAGTCAATGTAAAAAGGGAATGGATGTAGAAGGAAGGATAAAGACGACGTAGGGCTGAGTTATACACAGCACTTTTTTCGGCCGCGACGGAGGTTAAATGAAATGGGACGCCTGTTTGGGTTAGCTTTGCGATTTTAGCGTCGATCGGGCGCCGACAGCGGACCGGGGGAAATTATTACAGGAAAAACGGAAAACGGATAAAAATGTACAAGTTTCTCATCTCCTCCATCTTTCATAAATCGTCAACACGGGCACGGGCAGACAGAGCAAGTTTGAATCAAGTGCGTTATTATGCATATACTATATATAACTCTAATCAATCTTTTGGTATTTTTTAAACAAAAAAACAAAAAACTCCCATGTACAATGAATCCACAAACATCATAATCATTAGGTGCTGCCAAAGTGGGGGGCGTTGAGCATGAGGCCCATCAGGCAGCCACCAATGAGACCAGCAATGGGAATAGTCATGATCCAGGAGAAAACCAGGAGGAAGACACGCTTCCAGTTGACGGCCTTGAGAGTGCCGTTGCATAGACCGACACCAACCGTGGCGCCAGTGATGCACATGGACGTGGAAACGGGCAGAGAGTATTGGGAGAAGATGAGGACGGTAATGGCCGCACCCAGCTCCATCGAGGTACCACGGCTAGGAGAGTGGTAGGTGATTTTGTTACCCATGACTAGTAGGAAATTGTTAGCAAAATTGAAGATTTGGGCAAAAAAAAAAAAGACAAAAAGAGGACAAAAGCTTACCCTTCATAATGTTGTAACCATATGTGATGAAGCCAATGCAAATGGTGAGGGCAATGACGGCAATCTGCCACAGAGGAACGGGAGCTTTGGCACCAGCAGCCTTGCCAGTGGACCAAGCAGCATACATGACAGCCCAGACACCGACGGCGTTGCCGACATCGTTGGCACCGTGGGCAAAAGAGGCAGTGCAGGCAGTGATGATTTGGACAAAAGAGTACAGGTACTCAACCTCGTTGGGGTACTTGGTAGCGTGGTCATAGACGCGAGCCATGCGCTGGCCCTCGGGAGTACCCTCGATGCCAACCTGAGCAGTGTGAATGTCGTAGTGAGCGCCGTAGAGGAGAGCACAGACAATCATGGCAGGGAAGCGCTTGCAGGCAGTGATGAGGTTCTTGGTCTCGTGAATCGAACCGGCGCCCATGGGATTGTTGTGCAGGGTGCGCATGGCCCAGGCCAGAGGGCCACGGCCCTGGCGGAGTCTGGCGTGGTGAGCCTCAAGAGCCTCCTGCATGAGCCTCTGGTAGCCTTGCTGGTTGCACTCGGCCAAGATGAGCTTGTTGTTGGTTCTGGGCACCTCTTTGCTGGCAAACGCGGTATCATCCTGGCCCTTGAGATTGTCGCTGGGAGGGCGGACGTCGGACTCGCTCTCAGGCTCGGGGGTATCGTGCTGGATGACGGCGTAGTTGGGGACCCTGGCCTTTTCGGCATCCGGGGGAGCAGGGCGCCAGAAGAGCATAGGACCGTAGAAGACGTGCCAGAGTCTGAGGGTATAGTCCTTCTTGACAACCTTGCCGTGGACATAGGGGACGAAGAAAAGCGCAGACATGGCAAACAGTCCGAAGCCAACACCAAGCGTGACAGCCACGATGTACCAGGCAGGCTTCTTGGAGAGACCCAGGCGGGGGGAGCCCTTGTAGACAATGGAGAGGGTGCAGACGGTGCCGGCAATGAGGAAAAAGAAGGGGGAAGTCCAAACGGCCCAGGGCACAGGGTTCTTGCGCACATGGACAGTGAGCTTGATGAGCATAAAGGTGATGGCGGCAAAGACGGCGGCAATGGCCGGGGCCATGCCGAGACCAGCAAAGATGGCACCGAGACCAGAGCCCTTGTTCCACCCCCACTGGACGCCGCCGGCGCCAACAGTAGCGACACCAACACCGGCAAGCGACGAGATGAGAGAGTAGGTGGAAGAGACGTGGGCAGAGTGGCGAGTGCACCACATCACCCACAAAGAGGCACCGGCAGAGGCGCAAGCAAAGGCAAGAAGCTGCACGCCAGCATCGTTTTGGAAGGCGGCGACGGGGATGATACCGTTCTTGATGGTCGAGGCACTTCGAGCACCGACAGTGAGCGCACCGAGCATTTCAAAAATGAGGCAGAGAATCATGGCTCCTCTGTATGAGACGGATCGGGACGAGACACTCGTGGCCCAGGCGTTGGCGACATCATCTGAGGAAAAGACGTGGTTAGTAAAGATGTATGTGACCCGGATTGATCGGTGAGTAGCGTACTGGCACCGTTGTTGAATGCTTCAAGAAGGGCAAAGCAAGTGCCAATGGCAAAGATGTAAGTGTACTCGTGCAGAACCATCTTGGCGGCTTCTTGGGTCCAACTCGGACCAGGGGCAAGCAAGACTTTTTTGGAGGAAGTAGGGGGGTGATATGTATAGCTTGATTGACACGAGGAAAGCACAAAGGGCTCTGCAGCTTTCTGGGGAATGCATTTACCTTTATAATGTGATATGGAGGAGCTCGCAGGACGCAGTGGCCCCATGTAGAGCCGTGTGGCGTTTCAATAGCCAACCCCCATAACGAGAAGTCTGTCGCATGTGCACGAATTGACAGGCTGCGAGGACCCCTACCAATGTCAGAAAATGGACACCGAGAGCAACATGGCATTGCCGCAAGGATTTCATGCCAGCAACGGTGGCGGTTTGGCGACGCTGGTATAGACTCCACGCTTCAACTGGTCCGGAAGTGGAACTAGCGATGCGCCACCAAATACGGTCCTTTTAAGCTTAATGCTTGGCAAAAGAACCACTTAATTACCCCGGGAGAGCCATTCATTCATCTGGGTTTACCCACGTGGGATCTCTCTTTGTGCCTCGTAGGCTGAGATTCCCCCTCCTCCTTGTAGCCCTCGGGGCGGCCTTGTTGACCCAGCTTGTCGTCGGTCGGGAAAGCAAGTCGCTCAGCGTCGCAACCGGGACAAAAGTTTCTTTCTCTTCCCTTTCCTACTCCACCCGGCCCTTCTCGAACCTGTGTACAGCCCGTAAGAACTACCAACAGTTTTCGCTGTCCAACTTCAGACACAGTCCATGTGCGCGTGCGTGCCTTGCGTGATTGGCAGGATCTGCATTCTCTCAGCCCGCCCTCCCCCCGACTCGCTTCCGTAGCTTTTCCTTGTCAAAAATGAACAGGGCGAGCCGAGGTGAAGAATTGATTTCCTTTTTCTTCCCTTCTAATATCACTTCCATGATTGGATTGTAATGCAACAGTCAACTCGAAAGGAAACATGCCAATAGACAACCCAGACGCCGCACGCCGTCGCCAAGCCCAACTTCGGTCAAGAATTAAGGAACCGACTTGGCAGATGCTTGTACTTGGCAGCCGCTTCCCCCCGTGTCTCTGGTAGTGGTGATCGCGCCCGCCAAGAGGCACGCGACAGCTGTACAACACTTTTGAAGCAGGCAGCCAATGACCAAACAATCGTTTTCGGGCGCTTTTTGCTTTGCGTGTTTTTTTTTCTCGCTTTTTTTTTCCGTATTCAAGAATAAATACCGCTCATCGGAGGCTGTACCATGATGGTAGGTATTCTCTTGCCTAGTGCATGTGCAGTGCCAAGATGTCAACAGCGACAGGGGGCACCCTCTCGTGTCCATCATCTTCTCTTGTCAGTATTTGCGGCTTAATTTATCCGAATGCTGCAGCTTTCAGCGCGCTGCAAAATTCCAAATCGGGGCTCTGTCCCGCGCCACGGGCGTAGCGACAGTTGTTGGGCGCTGACAGCCCTGGTGTCAGCTTTCATGCAGATCACTGTCGGCGCGGGGATGCGCCCCAATCTCCTGCAGCGACATGGCGAAACACCAAAACCTTCAAGACGAGAAAAAAACGATAAAGTCATGCGTGTATTGGTTCGGCGCGACCGTAGCGCTGCCGACAGTACGCCTGTGCCGGACGCTTGGTTTCGGCATGTGGCCGACGTGCCAGTCGTCGTGGAGCCGCTTGTCGACGAGCCGGTCGCACGGTCTAACGGCGATCCGCGGCGACTCTGGAAGCCCTGCCGCGCTAACTAGCTGCAGAGAATAAGGCGAATGTTCTTGAGCTCCTGTGGCCATGCGCATTTCAAGCTGTTCAAGGGAGTCCGCGCCCATGAAGATGAAGGACTATGAGAAACACGGGGCTGGTGATGGAGGAGCGCGTCACCTCTGAATATCTGAAAACGCTCATCAAAACTCTGAAAAACAATTGTGAAGAATCTCAATGAAAGTCTTGAATGCGCAGCAAAGTCTACAACGTTGTCAATCAACTCGATCAACTCGTCCAGCTTCTGCCTCTGGTAGAAGGCTTGGGGAAACAAGCTCGCAGCTCGCAGCAAGAAGTTGCAAGGGTCAGCCATTTCAGAATTGATCCAGTTCGAGTCGACATCGGTTTTCCGCCGTTTCCTATTGATACTTGTCATTATTGACTCGTGTGCAGCTTCTCGCTGGTTACTTCGCCAATCACATGGCTTTATCACTATCGCTGAAGTGTAGGCGTGCTGGGAAAGCGAAGCACGAATTCTGCAACCTGCTTCCTCAAAACACTTCGAAATTCTTGTCGCGCCTGTCAAGTGTGTATTCGTGCATGCTCAAGTATCAAGTGCGTGCGGCTTGCCACTTATCAAGGAAAGCAGCTCTCGAGCCTACCGAAATGTCGCTGGAGACAGTGATTGGAATCTGCCTGCTCAAAACGAGAAGCTGGCGCAATGGGCGGCACCAAGGGAGAAAATCTCTCAAGACAATTCAACGAAACAGACCCAAATATGCCGAAATGGATTTTCGCGAGCGCTCAAGTCAGCTATCGGCAATCATGAAAGCTACACGAGTTCAACGACGAAACTATTGGTACTTTGCTGATGAAAGTTTGTCGCTGGGCGCGATTTCTAGAAAACTGGTACTTTGGATTCGACGGCAGGTCCTGGCTGTGATAATTCTATGCTGACGCGGGCTCTCATCAAAGACGGGCTTTCATCAAAGACGGGCTCACATGGAAGTCGGGCACTTTGAAAACACTACCACCACTGTCAGTACTGCATCTTCGTTGCAGAAGTCACGATATGTCACTCCCTCTTCAAAGACGCGAAAATCACAACAGAGCAAAACCACCACTTGTTCCTGTCCGCCCTTATGCATCGGCTCTTTTCCAAAGAATCTGGCCTGCTTGAGCTGCGCTGCCAGCTGTCGGAGGAATCGAAAGGTACTTGACCGAAAGCTCTGGGGATCTTGGAGCAGTCTGGTTACTCGCGCCGAGGGGAATCGACCTGCGGTCACATTGTGAGTCTTTGGCTGCCTTGGAGAGATGCAATGGTGCAGATTGGAATCAACTTCGTCGCAGCTTGACAATTCCAACCGCGAGGACCATTCAGCTGCGAGGTCGATTCACAAACTCTTGGTAACAAAGCAGATTCTATAACGCCATTCAGCCACGACATTGACCTCGTAATTGATGCAGAAATGTAAGGGTTTGCGAGTGATTCAGCGACATCAACCGCCAGAAGATGGGAAAAGTCCAAAGAGAAAAAGGAACAAGAATTTACTCGTGGCTCACTCGTGGCTCCATATGACCTTGGATATCGTAAAAGGCGATCCCAGTCAGTACAGTCGAGATTGAGATGTCGATGCGCTACTTGCAAAAGTACCGACCAAACAGAAAACGGCTTGGAGACACACGTGCAGTTGAAGGCCTACCCCTGGAAGATCGGGTTCAAGACAATAGTGAAAGGTCTTTCTGTTTGGCAGGCTATTTTTTTTTTTTCAATCGACAGCAAAAGAGGATCTCGTCCAAACGTTTGACTCTGCCTCACCGGCCACGCAATGTTGAGGCCGCTTCGCCGATGGTGGCGCTGTCCACGCGTTGATGTCCCGCTGCTGCATGAAACACCTTTTCCGTTCAAGATTCGCATCGCTCCTTTCAGAATTCGCGTCGCGGACGAAACCATTCCCGTCAAATGATGTGCAGCTTCGAATGGATTATTTCAACACGCAGTTAGTCTTGAAATTGTTCATGTGTTTCTCGAGCTTCCAAGGTGCACAGTGCAGAACCCTTTTGGTCAATCCAAAATATGTTGCGCCGGCGAACGGATCGTTTCCACATGTTTCAAAGTCATAACGAGACCTGGTGGGAAAAGTTGAACAATAATTTGCAATATTACACTGAGGAAGAAGACATGATTGATGCAAGCCTCAAGCCTTTGAATAGATGGGGGGGCAAAGTCTCGCGGCAAAGACGTGGTCCAGTGGCTGCTCGAGCTCGGTGACGGTCAATCGTTTGATTGCAGCTCTTCATGAAGCCACCTCAGACAAGATGGAGCCTCGCAAGTCGTTCGGCGCTCGTTTTGCATTTTGCTGATGGCGTGAGTGGCAAAGTTGAAGCCAATGTGAAGCGCTTATCACCAAGATGTCCCAAGTGGCCAATCAAATTGACAAAGACCCACCTTAACATTGTACTCAGCCATCCACCCAACCACCCAGCCACCCGGGTGCACTGGGGCAGGCAACACCGGCCTCTGAGCCGCCAGCGTTTCGTTCTACCTTTCAGGGCCTCGCGGGCCATTCCCAGCGGGTTTGCGCCCACTACAATCGAAACCCCCGACTCCACCCGTTGTCGTCATCTTCCAGAAATAGCAACACGGCAAAGACATGAGCAACTTCGTTTTGAAGCTGTCCTGACAATATAATTTTTGCTGATTTGGCATTTTTTCTCAGACTGATTTATTGTTTCAGAAACCTTCATCTTATTCTTTCTTTGAATGGACTATAGTCGTGTCAATGGGAATACATGTTAATCCGTAACGGTTAACCGCTCGGATTTCGGATTCAGAGTTACGTCAACCCATCCTTGAAGATGCAGGGATCATAGACCCCCGTTTAAACCAACCAGCCGGGCAGTGCATCTGTAAAACGCCTTGCACTGCACCGCCAAACAACCTGCTTACTGGTTCGAGTAAGCCAGCCCGGGGCCAACCAAAATATCTTTTGCCTTGACGAACCTCTCTGTTTGCTTACACTTGGGTCATTGATGCGTGGCGTTTTTTCCATCTCCCAAGTCCTATTCACTCCGATCCGAATCGCGATTGCCTCCATTTCTTTCTCCTCTTACATCTATCTCCTCAGCAAATTCCGTCAACACCTTTTACAAGCCCTTTTTGCGTCTGATGCTACTCTCTTCTCCATCGCTACGCCAACCTCCAACACCTACCTACTAGTTACCCCGCCGGCCGCGACGAATCCCGCCCAACCATGGCCCGCGGCACCTCACTCGGCCTCAAGACCGTCCAGTGGCTCATCCGCCTCGTGCAGCTCCTCTGCGCCGTCATCATCCTCGGCATCTACTCGTACCTGCTCGCCGCCCTCGCCAACCACAACCTGCCCACGCCCACCAACGTCCGCGCCGTCGAGGGCGTCGTCGGCGTGGCCGTTGCCTACGCCCTGCTCGGCCTGCTGCTGCTGTGCTGCTTTGCCGGCCGCACCCTCACGTCCTTTGTCGCCATGTGTTTTGATTTTGCGTTTTTGGCAGCCTACATTTTCGTGGCGGTGGCGAACAAAAACGGCGCGGGGAGCTGCACCGGTGAGGTGACGACGGTGTTTGGAAAGGGCAAGGCCGAGGACACGCTCGATGCCGGAGGTGGCTTTACCAAGATTCCGAGCTATCGCACGGCGTGCAAGCTCGAGACGGCGTGTCTCGCCATTGCCATTATTGCCATGTAAGTCGCGGCATACGAGAAATCTGCCAGCACAGAACGAGGATGGGCTGCTAACAATAGAGATTAGCTTCTTCTACATCTTTTCCATCTTTGTCGAGCTCGCTCTTGGCCGCCACCACCAGCGCGAGAAGCGCCTCGCCAACTCGCCGCCCCAGATGCAGATGCCCTACGCCGAGAATCCCTACAACAACAACCCCGACCAACCCGACTCGCCCCAGCAGCAAGCCCCGGCCGCCGGCTTTCTCGGCCGCGTCTTTGGTCGTCGCCGTCGCGGCCAGCAGGCCCTTGCCCAAGACGACCCCAACATCCTCCCCGAGCACGCCCACCCCGCCGACATGGTCTCGGGCGGCGCCGCGGCGGCGCCCAACAACCGCGACTCGCAGGCCACCGCCGTCGGCCAGGATCCGCAGTCCCCGTACAACAGCAACAAGTACGAGACGGGTTATGGAAATGCCGGCAGCTTACCGACGTCGCCGCACCCCCACAATCCCATGGTGACGGGCCAGACGCATGCGTACGCCGGCGACTCGTACGCGCACGCCGGTGACTCGTACATGCACGCTGGCGGATCGTACACGCATGCCGGCGACCACTACGGTCATGCCGGCGACCACTACCACCACCATTACCGCGGAGACAACGCGGCGGCGGCGACGACTGCGCTGCCGTACCCAGACGATGGCCCGTATGACGGCCCGTACGAACCGCATCGGGCAGAGCCGGCGACAATTCCTCATTACCAGATGGGCCCGAGATATCCGGCCCCGAGTTATCGTTATGATGATGGCATCTATGATCGCCCGTAAAGAAGCAAATAAATGTATGATTTAAAACAACACACAAACGCACATGCACGTCTACACCACATTGGGTACACATTGAGTACACAGTTTTTTGTTTTTCTTTTCCTTTTTCGATGGGACGATTGAAAAGGGATGAGCATGGATATAGGTCACTGTCACTAGATATGGGTCAATGGATGATACCCCTACACGACGCCACTTTTCATCATTGAACAATACCTGTTAATAATAATGATATCAACAATTCTATAACCTCAACTCACGCTACTGACTGCTGTCTCCCACTACCAATTCTCCATCTCGCCTGTGCCATCATCTCCACCTACTTCTGCCCAGTTCAGGTCCAGCTTCTCCAGCTCGCGGGTGAAAAAGTCTTGCTGAAACGTTTGCCCACGCTGCTTCTGCTGCTGCTGCTGCTGCCTATCCTTGTGCTCAGTCGCCGTGGTGGGTATGTCGCCGAGCGTCTTATCCGGGTACCGCCGGACGTTGAACCAGTGGGTGAGGCCGCGCAGCGCCTGTTCGAGTGGCAGCGCCGAGTCCACCTCGGCGTCAATGTCGCTACCAGCCAGCCACTCGTCGCGCAGCTCCGGCCGGCAGTGCAGGTACACTGCCGTTATGACGCGCATGTTGCTCTGGCGCCATTTCCGCCCGCAGTATGGCACCTGGTTCTTGAATAGCTTTAGCGTGTACAGCCGCAGCTCCGGCTGCGGGATCCGTAGTGACTTGCGCAGTATCGTCGACGACTTGTACTGCACCAGAAGCAGGTTGCGGTGCGCCTTGCCCTTGCATATCTTTTGCATCACGCGCAAGTAATTGATCAGCGAAAAGAAATTGCGCCACGAAAAGTCGGTAATTGGCTCCATAGGCAGATCGTTGACTGGGTAGCCGAGCTCGTCTACCTCGGGTCGCATATTCCGATTGCCATCTGTCTCGGAAGGCTGGCTTGTCGGCTCTGCTGTCTGTTCATTATGTACCCCCTCTGCTGGCGGGGACCGGCGTCTTCTAATCGGTGGCGGCGCTGCGCTGTCGTCACTTTCCTCGGCCTCGTTTTCCGGCTCGCCCGCACCTTTAGGTTGGTCTTCGCCTTCTTCATCTTCATCCTCATGCTCAAGATCGCTATCCATCCTGTCCTTAAATCGGCATCGTAGATTGCAAAAAGTGAAGAAACTGTTGCAAAAGTGTTAGCCAGAGGATACCCATCAGTCAATCACTGGACAAACCTGTTCTCCAGCCGATCCATTTTGCTGTCGACAACTTGCTGTACGTCTTGATGTGCGAAGAGCTTGAGCACAAGGGGTATATAATTGGAGTCCAACAAAAGTTGAGTCAAATACTCGAATCGTAAAACATCTGCTTCACGTTAGCACCATGACCTGTCACTCGTCTTATCTGAAAGAGACTCACGCGATAGTCGCAGCCATTTTAGCAGCAACACCAGGATACCCGACATGGCCTTTGTCGTGACCTCCCTAGTTCTAGCAGCATCCACTTCCTCCGGCGACTGTTCGGGGGGTTCGCCGCCTGGTTTTCCATTATCGGCATTGGGCCCGTTGTTCATGCCGGGCCCGTTGTTCATGCCAGGCCCGTTGCGTCCCGATGTGCCTTGGTTCGTATGCGACTGCGGAGCCTGCTGTGCTACTATGGCCGCAACATTGGCAAACACTGGCCGCAGCAAAACAATAACCAAAGACTGTAAATGTGGCACTGCTTGGTGCTGTATGGGAGTTAGCATCGATTCGTCGGCTCAACAACAAGACACTCACATAAAAGCTTTCCACAGCTTCCAAGCGCTTCTTGTCCCGGTCGCTCATCTTCTCTTTCCGCGGACCATAATCGACAACTTCTGCTGGCACAGTTGGTTTGCGTACTTCCTTAAGTTCGCCTTTGGCCTCCTTGATCAATTCTCGTTCTTCTTCTGTGAGCTCGCTCAAGTCTAGTAGCTCTTCAATGTCATCATCTTCTTCCTCATCCGGTTCCCACCCACGCTCAAATTTGAGAAATGCCTCTCTCTCGTCCCACAACTGCCTCGTGGCTCTTGTCATCCGTACTCTCGTAGAGAACAGTTCGCCCGCTTCAAGGATGGACGCGGGAATATCGCTCCCTTCCCATCGGCGGTTGATGGTGTCGTTGAGAGCCGCTAGCCCCTTGCCGCCAGCGCTATTACTTGTGGCGTCAAGCGGTGGGTACATGAATGGAAAGTTCTGGTTTGTCTGATAATTTTGTTTCTTGCCGCCTTTGCCTCCGACACCCGGCGATGGCGGCGGTGATGGGGCTGGGGTAGCAATGTGCACTGGCTGATGTAGAATACTGGCGCCACCAATTTGTGAGTTCGTCGGCCCAGAAAGAATGCCATTGGAGCCGTTATTTCTGGTTGTATGTTGAGGAAGCGGGGGAAGTAAAGAGGTATTTTCGTCTTCGAGGGGAATGACGGGTCGTGGAGGCACGTATGCTGGATATTTGGAGGTTATTTCTTGGCGAAAGACATGGTAGTCTAGCGGCGAGGCAGTGATTGTTTGCTTCTCTTGGTTGTCGCTGAGCTCGCTGGTGGCCTTTTTGACTCTTTGCAGGTCATTGGTGCCGCCAAACACGAGCAAGATCGACTTCCAAAATAGCAGTAGTATTTGTGTTTGCGGGAGAACATTGTGGTCATCCCATCTCAGTTTGATTGTCGCCGTCATCATGAATTCGGTAAGAGGTGGCTGCAGCTCGAGCAGTTTCCCGTATGACGCAGCCATGTCTTCAGGATCGCTAAGAACTTCTTGCAGAGCAATATACATAATGGTCATGAGATTCATCAACTCATCGTATGGCTCCTGGGGACTACCCTGGCCAGCTGACTGTGGGTTCGGTACGTCTCCAGACCAATGCAGCTCAAATGCATGCCTCAGAGCCTCCCACACGACCGGTAACCCCTCCAGTGACGCGAGGCATTCGACACCGGCCTTGATCGCCTGTAGCTGCATCGTGCTTGCAATTGATTTTCCGGGTCCCTTGCTCCTGGTCGCTCCATCGCCAGATTTCTCATGTTCATCGTCAGACGCCGCGGTATTTGGCATAGCCGTGTCCCCCCAGCGCCCCAGTACCAGATAGACCAGCTTTCCGATCGAGGCCGAGCGCAGCGCCGCGTCATTGCATTGCACACCCGCGATCGCCGCCTGCACGAAGCGGGTGCGGGTGTCGTTGTCCGCATCCTCCCAGGCCACCTCGTGACCGCTCTGGCCGCTGGCCATCGTTTCGTGGTTCCAGTGCCACTCGAATGCCTTTTGCGCGGAGCTGAGGCGCACCCACTGCCAGAACTGGTACATGAACCACTCGTCAATCTCTTCTGCGTGTGGTCCCATGTCGGCGTAAACAAAGTCGTAGGCCGGCTGCTCGGGCCTGTTCACCTCGTTGACAATCTTGCGAAGCTGCGCCAGGGAGAGGGAGTCGGTGGGGAGCGGCGGCGCGGGCGCCTGCGGCATCGGGGTCGCAGAGTTGCCTCCGTGCTGCGATGAGTCGAGAGCTGCCCGCTGCAAAGCGTTGCGTTGTAGGATTGGCCTCGTGGTCGACGGAGGCGGTGCGACGAGGGGCTTCTCGGTCGCCAGCGTCCTGTCAGCCACATGGCCCATGTCCTGGACGTCCATATCCATGTCGGGGTCTGTAGGTTCGTCTTCTGCCGGCACCTCGGTCACAGTGGCAGTGGGAGCTGATGGGTGTGCAGCTAGGCCTTCCGCTCGCCCGTCGTTCTGTGCGCCGTCGAGCAAGCTCATTGTTGTGGACGACGCTTTGCTTTCCAAGGCCGGCCCCCGATTCGGCACCAAGGCGGAACTATAGACGTGGAGGCTCAATATATTCAGTCGAAGTATCTATAGGCGCTTCTCTTGCCGCAGGGTCCCCTTGTCGATCGTCGGGCGTCGAGCGTCGGGTTCGATGGCTCAGCGAAAACGGACCTGACCTGTTGGATTCGTGACTGGTCCTTAATGCTCCATCTATCGTCGATACGCGGGAGAGCTTAGCCTAAGATGTAAAGCGTCTTCCCCGGCATGTAAATCGTAAATGCTATTCGAAAAGCTCTGTCTTGTCTCAGAGCCTTGTCTGCTGATGATACAATGTTGTCGCGTGTTTGATGGTATTTTAGGTCTGCGGACCCAAAGCTATCCAGATTGGGGTGGCAGGACCGCCGCGCGCGACCGCCGCTCTCGCAGGAGCTCATTGGCTGGTGGGGTTGTTGTAGAAGTTGTCTACTTTTCTTCGTACAAGGTTTCCACGTCGTCATGTAAATACAACACACTCTCTTTTCTTCTCATCTCACAAATTCTTCTCAACTCATAAATTCATTATAACATTATTTACAGATGTTGTGCTCTTTGACTGGAAGGGCACACTCAATCGTTGCCACCAGAGTCGCTAGCAGTGTCAACGCCATCAGCCTCGCCCCCAGCCGCCACCTTCTTTTCCTTCTCCTTGGCACGTTTCCTCAGCTTCTTAATCCTATTCAGCCTCTTCTTCTTTTCCTTGAGGTTCTCCGCCTTTTCCGTCTGTTTCTTGGCAGCCTCATCCGCTGTCTGCGCCTCTTTCTTTGTGCGCTGACGCAGCAGAATCCGCTGCTTCTTGCCTGGCCTCTTCCTCTTGGCAGCCTGTTCCGTGTCAGGCTTGTCGCCAGGCCTTGCCTTGCGAGTCGCGCTCGTTGTGATTACCCTCCACGGCATCGTCACGCCCCATGACGGTCGCGTAGACCACTGCACAATCGTATCCGCCGTGACAGCCGCGTACCTGTACTGCTCCTTCTCCATGGCCGACGGTGCCTTTGCCACGTAGTATGAGCAAGGCCGTCGCCGAAGAAATGCGCCGTCACCCAGAAGTTCGTTTTCGTCCTCCAGAATCACCTTGGCAAGCTTATTTGTGCCGCCGGGGCCGGCTGTGCTGAAAAGATTGAATTCGTAGCCTTGTTCTGCGGCGCGCTTGTCATCCTCGACTTGAGCGACGTTCATCATTTGCTCAGGTAAGTCGGCATTATTTGGCAGTCGCTCTGAGGGTGCAGAAGGCTCGTCGTCGTCGTCCAGACCCAGCGCCGCGGCGATCTGGGCTCTCACTCGGGCTTGCATCGCCTCATCGTGGCCAATTGTATCGTATAAATCTGCGCCAGAGTCCCCCAAGTCTTCGCGTCGAACTCTGCGATCGACAAAGGTCAGCAAGGCGTCTTGTATTCTTTTGCTTTGCATCTTGAGAACAGCAAGCGCGCGTTCCACATTCGCGTGCTTTAGTGGCCAGTTTCGGGAATGCGCAATATCGTGGGCAGGAAACAGCTAGTCTTACCTCTTTGCTTCTGGAACTTCAAACATTGCACTTCGAAGACTCAGCTTGCTAAGAGGGTTGTGTGGTGGGAGGGTCGAGGATGCCGGGTGAACCGTGGCAGGATGGCGTGGCACTTGCTCCTGTCGTCGAATGCGAGCGCGCGGGTGCTGGATCACGAGGAGTCTGGGAAATAGGGCCTCTTTCCGAAATTGATTTTGTAGCGATAGTGATGCGCTCAATGGGAGAAGCGCGGGCTGAAATGAGCTGTCGCAGAAGATGCAGAGGCGTCGGCGAGCGTGGTCTCGCAACTTTTTTGGTGTCTCGCCCCACTAACCCGTCACTTTCTCTTGAAGCCTCGACGGGCGCAAAGTATTGTTGCAAGTGACCATCTCACAAAAAAGTATCCTAAAGAAAAAAAAAAAGTTCAGTTGTGTATATGACCTTAAAAAATAATATATCCAGAAAAGAAAAAAGCTGCTTCTTATCTCTTTTCTACTTCATCTCTGAACCAGATCTTATCTTCTTAGCCACCTTCTTTCCCGGGGGGCCTAGTCTCGACAACTTGCTAATCAAGAGCAAGCAAAGCTCGACTTTGTATTTAAATGAAATCCTGAACCCTCAGGTTCTATAAAAAAACCTGATATTTATTTCTTTGTCAAATTTTCAATCACCAAAATGTTGCAATATGTCCATAAGCGCCAAATCAGATATCCCAGCTGACAATGCTTGCTTACTGCAACGCCCAGACTTTATCAAATCGATATTCAGAGGCTCATCAACAAGCTTAAAACAACAAGCAGGGAGCTGAAATCACGTGTGCTACTACAAATGCGTAATCCAAGTCATTGTTTGCGTCAAAAGACAGCTGAAAGGTGTGTAGGTGCGCCACGGAACTACTCGTCGTCACTATCGCTAGCAAGCAGAAGCCCCAATTACGACGGAATTTCAGGATGCCATCTATTCAATCAATCAAAAATCTATAAGAGTTACACTCTTGCCAAGAAAATGGCCAGTCTCGACCAAAGGCACCCTAGTCGTTTCAGTCAGTCTCCGTACAATCGGAAATCGGGCGGCGCCTTCCGTCCGTCAGCTCGAGTCGTCGTGATTAGATCGGGATTTGTGGAGCAGCCTGCACCAGAGCGCAGCAGCCACGGATCAGCATGCCGAATTTTTCACCAAGGCCACTATATTCTTGCTCGGGATACATATTTACGAATGAATAATGCAAAGTTTGAAAACAGGCCAGAAACGCGGGCGACGATTGCAAGACCCAGTTGGGGGCCAAAAAGCAACGCTATAGTTGCTGTGTAGCATTGCATCTTGAAAGAAAGCCACCCCCCTCCCCCTCATTTGGCCCGCCACCATGTGGGCATTTGCATGATTCTTTTACTGGTATTTGGGACCAATGTCGCTTTCGTTATTGGTATAAGCTGTATAATATAATTGGACATGTCAACCCGCAAAAAGAAAAAAAAACAAGAAGAAGAAGGAAAATGAGAAAAAAGAAAACAAGTAGAGAAGAATACGAAAGATGGAAAGAAGGAAAAAGAAAGGAAAAAAAGAAGAAAAGGAAAAGAAAAAGGAAAAGAAAAAGGAAAAGAAAAAGGAAAAGGAAAAGGAAAAAGAAAAGGAGAAAACAAGGCAAATGGCTCGGAAAACCAAACTAGGAAATGGGGCGGCGGACAGACCCAGCGCGCGTGCAGTGTAACCTTTGCCACAAAGGTTACTCCGTACGGAATAAACAAGCATACAATACGGAGTATAGCATCACACGGAGTACCCTATTCATCAGTGAGCGAGGCGAGTGAGGGTTGCCAGTTGGAGACGTTAGTAGCTGTGGCCCATCTTGTCCTTGAAGGGAATACTAACCGGTTTTGATGAAAATCAAAAGGTACAGTTGCGAAATGGCGCATCCACTGGATGTTATCTCCAGCGCTTTATGCGGCGCTTCAAGATGGCGTTTTGTTACTGCGCTGACTGACTGGTATCAGTCAATCAGCGTTACCATGACCTCGATGCGAAGAAGACGAAACGTGTGTATTCATGAAGAAAATTGTGTGCAGTATTGTATGTAGTGGAGCAGAAATTCACATCATTGCCAACCAACTCCGGATATAAGAAAAAACGAAAGCCTCCCTTTGGTACTCCCAAAACAATCCTGCCCGTATGCTGTCCTTGTTGTCATGTCCTTGGTCGACAGAACGTGTGGCGTGACATGTTGTAGCAGGATTCGCAGAAGATCCTCCCAAGTGTACAATCCGCCATGGCCCAATTTAGAAGCAAACAATAATAGAGAAAAGAAAAATCAACGCATGCAATCCTCCCAATAATAATGTCTTGCGCCATATATAACTCAGAGAAAGCAAAGTCCCCGGCCGCCCAGTTCTGGTGGAACATGGAGGCATAAACCAAATCAGTCAAACTTTCCCACACAAAAGGCAGTCATGCTTATACATGAAGCAACCTAGTAATGAAGTTGTTGAAGCGATAAAGCAGAGCTTCAGGCTAACAGTCCGCCCACGTGGATCGGAACCAATTCCTAATTGGCACTCCACGAATAGTTGCTCATCGACTCAAAGGCACCTTTAGCGCCAGGTTGATAGAGAGCATTAGGGAGAGTGCTCTCCTGCTTCGCAGACCGATCAAAGGCATACGGGCGATGCGCGGCACTGTTGCCAGGATGGCTGGAGTAGCTCATGTTCGTGTTGGGCTCTGCCGCGCTGGGCGTCCAAGTACCGCCAGATGATGGGTAGTAGTCTCGTTGAGTAGCGGCAGGTGTGCTATCGGAGGTGTAACCCATAGTACCAGCATCGCTAGCGATAGAGGCGCGATAAGATGAATAGCGGTAGTCAGAGGCACTATCTGAGGCGGAGATGGAGCCATGCACAGACGACTGGCCATGGTGTCTGGGGCTCTTTGTCGTTCTGCCGTTGTCAATGTATCGTGGAACGTTTTCCGAAGCAAGTGCTCCAGCGGTGGGAGCATATTGCGATAGCGAGACAGGAGGTGCTAGTGAGGTGCCCAGAGGGAGTTCCGAGCCGTCACTCGCAAAAGCAGAGGCACTTGCCATGCCCATCGTCGTCGTCGGGAGTTGGCTCAGAGAATCAGTTTGCTGGTTCCATGAAGGGTAAGAGCTGTACAATTCATTGTCAGTTTTGCGGTGAGTTTGTGAGCAAAAGTCTACTAACTTGGACCGCAGAGCAGCCGGCTGGCCAGCCGTGGATTTCGGCGGGCTGAATGTAAAGCCAGATCGGGGGACCTGCATGTCTATGCTTCCTCCCCGCTTGATTTCCGGTTTGGTAGAAAGCGCACTAGCAATGACACCTACGCCAGTCTCAACCAGAGCCTGGCCCCGAGAACCGGCGCTTGATCCAAGTAGAGGAATCTCCTTGCGGGCCTGGAAGTTGCGCGGGCTGCGGCCGCGAACAACAATCGGTGAGGTGATGGACTCGGTCAATACCACCTTGCTATTGTCAGCAAGAGTGCCGTGGACCTTGAGGTGCAAGACAAAGTGCTGTTGCAGCTCTTTGCGGCGGCCATTGTTGGCAGTGGCACTGTTTCCGTCTCGTCAGCGAATAGTCGTCTTTACAGGCAAGGAATCATAGCTCACATTCGGAACTGGAGACGGCGCCAGCCGACGGGATATACAGCATATTCGCCATCAGAGTTGGGGCTGCTATCCTGAAAGGGGATCAAAGGCAGAGCCGGAGGCTCCTGATCAGGGTTCTGCGTCTGTTCGGGCGAGTTGGGTGGCGGTGTCTTCCAGGGAATTACAATGAGGCGAACGGGGTTGCCATCGACAGATTCGATTGCAGAGATGGTAACTTCCATGTTGCTCACGGGTACAGTCTCGTTGGTCTCGTTGACCACCGAAATAGGGCCTCTCGGCGTGACAAAAGAGCCGCTGATCTGGAAGAGGTTGCGTCGGTAACAAGTAAGCTCAGGTTGAAGTGCGCCGCCGTCGCTGGGATTAGAGGGCATCTCCGAGAGAAAGAACATTCCGTGCAGTTGAGCGGAAAGCTCAAGCTGCTGCACGCGGCCATGCTGATCAACCACAGTGCTCTTTTCTTGGGAGCGGCGGAAGGCGAGAAGCTTGTGGTCTTGGCTGACTGTGAGTCTGGAGGTATCGTCACGAAGATCCTGGACAATCTCTTGATAAGGCTGAGGTTCGGTCTGGGAAAACGATCTTTTCAGAGGAGGGTAATTTTGATGCGAGGAGAGAGGTGCAGGCTGAGGTCGATCAAAACTAGATCCCTCGTCCTGTGAGTAGCGGCCATATGGGTAGTGGTCCTGGCCAGCACGAGGTCGAACGCCAGAGGAAGAGAAGGTTGCGTCTATGGAACTGCCGAGGCGTGCAGAAATCTGCGAGGCACCGTAGTTGGGCCAGACATTTGCGTGAGGGGCATCTCCCCTCAAGTCAGTCATAGTTGGAGGATATGCTGTCGCGGTCATCATTGGCGCATTCTCGAACGGGATGTAAACGAGGTTTGCGAAGCCGCCTCGAGAGACGAGAGTCTACTAAAATGCAGAGAGGAGAGGCAAAGAAACAGAGGCTCAAGTGTTGGCTGCGTAGAGGGAACAAGTTATACAACTGGCGGTGCAGAGGAGCCAAGCAGATGCAAGAAAGATGTATGTAATGATGAAGAAAGCAATGAAGACAAGGAAGGGGGAAGTTGGGGGCGAAGTGGATGGTCTTGTATACTTGTAGAATCTCGCTGCATGAATGGAGCCCGATGGGACCCCAGTGCAAGAGCAACGACAGACGGCAGATGGTGAAGGGGCGTGTCCAACAAAAAGGCCGGCAGTGTGCCCGTGTGGCGGAGATCGAGGTTGGGGGGGACCGTCTTGACGCCCAGGAACGGGAGCTAATAAACTCTCTACCAGGCCAGTCGCTCTAATCAGAGCAGGCAAGTCTGGTGGCTCTCAATGGAACCCCCTTGTCCGTTTAGTCGGTGGGGGAGACCATGGCGGCCAACTGTGTACTTTTGTTCGAACGGAGTACAATGCTGCAGAGTACCCCTACAAGCACACCACCCATACCCGTCCTGGGTACAGGGTGCAACAGGTTCGAAAAGTCAGACGGGGGGTGGGAAGGGGGTGAGGTGGAGGCAGATCTCGTGCTTTACCGGCCACGATGGTAATTAGGCCATGAAGGGATAATTGGGCCTTGCAGGCAGAGCGGCGAGCGAGGTGCGTGCAAGAATAAGTGCGGCTGGTCACGACTTCTCAGAGGCCAAGCTGCTGCTCATTTGAAGACACCCCGTCTTAGAGACACAACTCGGCCGAAGCGATAGGCGGCGCATGAATCCATGCCGGCGTGAATGTCGGTGAAACCCAGACAGGTTTCTGCCATCAGTTTTTCCAATACTAGCAATTTAGCTTTGGGCTGCTTGTAATGAGATTCAACGTTGGGGTGAGCGACATAGTTGACAGGTTACTGAACAACGGGCCAGGTGGCTCCAGTTCAACGCTGCTTTCTCGGCCAGGCTGAATCTGCACAAAATGAGCGCGAGCAAGAAGAAGGAGGAGGCGAGTGGACTGTGGTGGGCTACCTTGATTTGGGCCGATGAATACTCGTAGTCACTCTGGGGGAGGGGTGCGTCGTCGGCACGCCCCCCTGTGGCAAGCGATATCTGTGATGTTCCGCGGGGACTTGACCTCTCATGGTCACACTCTCTGGGTGCTAGAACAGCGCCTATCTCAAGGTGGCTTTGGGGCAGTCTTGAGGAGACCATGGTGAAAAGAGCCACAATTAACGCTGTCGGGCTAATAAGAGGAACAAACTAATCGCTCCAGATGGTGCCCAAGCCATAGCCGGGGCCTGTGGATATCATTAAATGGGGGCAGGACTAAGATATGAGCGCACTGTGCGAGATGAGAAGGGGATGGGTGTGCTGGGTGTGCTGGGTGTGCTGGGTGTGCTGGGTGTGCTGGGTGTGCTGGGTGTGCTTGTACCGAGCTACCCTAGGCCAGCCTCCTTGGTTGTGAACATCTTGGGAAGTGACCAGCTCACTACTCACCGGAGATTTGGGCGGATCTCGCAAAGGAAAAGAGCATGCCATAACACTGTTGCCTACTAATCGAGAATTGCGAATTGAGGCGGTGCGAAAACTGCAAGAAAGGCGACGGTACTGCTTCGTTGCTTTCTGAAAAGGGCGCACGTTTGGCTGCTTGGTAGCGTTGGCGCAACGGGTCTACACTGGAGGTGACGGGAGAGGCGCAGCTAACTAGCATGCTAGAGCTAGTCCCTGCACACGAGGTCCTGGTGCACGAAGAATAGAACTCCTGCGGGATAACCTGCGGCCATCGGAGTGGCGATGCGTGAACGTCTTGACGGTGAGATGACCGGTCCACCGCGGCGCCGGATGATTTTGAGTGCCATGGATCGACCTGCCTTGTCGGCTGGTGAGCCGACCGCAACGCTCGTGTGAGGAAATGGCAAGTAATGGGAGGACACTGGTCGTGTTCATCAGTCAGGCGGTGGTCGAAAAGGGTGTCAGATGGTTTGTATGCTAAGAAAAGCACCATAGCGAAAGGAGCTGGCGCTATTGCAAATGTGGGCGGACTGGATGGTGGAGACTCTGGAGAGCAGTGGCGGCATTTCACTAAAAGGACTGACAGACTGCTGCGGAGCAGAGGCGGCGCTTCAACGCCACGGGTCTTGTTGTCTGGCGTAAAATAGCTGCTATCGCTCTTCATTGGTGTGTTGGTGTGCACCATGACAAGTCCGGAATGCCGAGCCACGGCATTCAAGCATCTATTTTTGGGGCATGGTACAGATATCGGGGGGGAATACCATCGCTAGCGACCAGTCAGGCCTGTGATTAGCGAAAGCGGTTTGTCGTGACATGGTGTGCCACATGGTGTCATGCTTCTTCTTCGTCTGAAGCAGAAATCGCCAAGTTGACCGATCGTTTTGTTTCTCGTGTCCAGAATAAATCGCTGTAGTATCCGTAGAATTGATCAAAAGAGCAGGCCTAAGTGTCCGCTGGTTGGCGCAACAGCTCGTCGCCGCTTGGCGCAGCTGGGGTATTAGAAGTTACCAGTAGCTAGACGTTGCCAGTAGGCGATGAATAGGGCTCTTTGTCTCAGCACTGTGCGACTCGGTTGGCTTGCAAGCCAGTCAGAGACTCAGAGTCAACTAGTGTCTTTAGAAGCTCCCACATGGAGCTGCTAGATAGCCTCTAGAGCAGTTGACCAGCAAGTCTTTGGCTTTATTGTGGATGCCAGGCAGTAAATGAAGTGTTTACCAGCACACCAGTTCTCACCAGTATTTAACGGTAGACACACAGCGCGAGGTCCGACGTGGATGGACATGCTGATAACAAGACATAATTTAGATGGGCGGAACACGCAGCATCTGGATCTGATTCCGTTCTAGTTAGCGAATGAGCTCGGACGGGGAATCAGGTCATTTTTTAACTAGGAAAAATGTCAGGGCGGCTTGGAGCATGGCACGGGAAGGGTGTCTCATTTTCGCAGCCACGGGCTACTTACCGCCTGGCAACTTGGCAACTTAGCAAAGCCCAAATGTCAAGAGGGTGTTGTCACTCTCGTATCTCAGCTCGATGATGCAGATGGCGTTCCATGGCCAAACGGCTTAGCTTCAAAAAGTTTGTAGGTAATTCGATGTGGCTTTGATGTGCAACGGATTTTTCTTTCCGTCTGCGCATCAAACGGCGGCGAATCTCGTTGACAGCTGCCAGTCTCAGCCACAGCAGGTGGCACATCAAGACCTGCGGACTATTACAAGTGGCTTGTGGCTTGCCGGACGGTTTGGGTAATGAAGAGGTCGTACAAGAAAATGTCAGATTATGCGACCCCTCATTAGCCCGCACAAGCTGCCGCCATCGACGACGATACACGAGTACGTGGACGGAACTGCACCAAGACCCGCAATTACTCAATATCATATGGGCACGCAAATCAAGGAAACAAGGAGAGTAGACAAGTTTTCGGCTCCGGGCCTAGTTACAGCACAGCAGGCTATTACACTGCACGCTCCGCGAAGACGGACGCCTAAGCCGTTAGAATTTTGCCGCACCCCACATGGCTCCGTGGATACCAGCCAAGGTATTGAAGCCGATTTGCGCAGAGAAAGGAGATTGAGAGAAATGGTCTGTCGCGTCAAAACGTTGAACTTCAGTACCGCCAAAGTGTCTATCCTTGCGCTCATGCATCGAGAGAGCAGGCATGGGCCTGAGAGATTGAGGACTGCAGAACTTTTGGTAGCGTCCTTTGCTAGCGTGCACATGTCTAGCCAAGCCCAGTAGCCACACAGTAATGAGGAGAGAAAGACACTGTACTGCTACCAGTGCTGCGGGACTGGTAGGCCATCAGTGCGAGAGCCGCCATCGCTATTGGGATCGCCCTTGGGGGCCGCCGCGGGCACTAACTCATTTGGCTCGCCTGCGATTCCGTGGACTATGCCGTCATGGTATTCCGGCTACGTTTGTGGGTGCTCTACGGACTAGAGAGGGGGACATTTCCGGGTCTGTGTGTATCCTTGAATCCTTGTTGGCATCTGCACCCGAAAATGACGCTATGGCTACCGCTGCGCCTGACTCGACAGCGGTCGAGCCGCAAAGACCTATCTTGATGCTCACAAGATGCAGAGTAGTACTGGAGAGGAGATGAGGCCAGGCGACAAGGCGCCTCTATGTAGGAAAGTAGACTGCATGCCGGGCACTCAGCGACAGTCATTGAGCGATGCAGTCATTGAGCGATGTGCAGATGATCAACCTCACCGTGATACGGTAACCAGAAAATCTCTCATCGCAGTGCATATCGTTGTGCTTGCGGCTTCCACAGCTAGATATGGCAGATGCTAGCCAAGCCCTGTTCGCTGGTTAGCTTGGTCTGCGCCACGCGGTCATTGTCACTGGTCATCAATTCGAGGGCGTTGCAAAAGTCCTTGATTGCTAAAGCTTACTAGTGCAGGTGACTGAGCCAAGAAATAGAAATATGCCATCGAGAGCGGTGCAAGGCACATGCAACCTGTATTTGCTGATTCAACGGCTGCATCAGAGGGGCGCAACAGTCGCTTGGGGGAGCGAAAAGGGTTCCTGTGGGCGCTTGGGGTCTAGTCAAGCCACACTGACCGTTACTAATGCTGATTGGGCAGTGGCTGGGAAGCCGTGGTTGCGTGGGCAAGAGGGTAGGTAATAATAAGAGGGGGACTTGGAGCGTAAGTACCTGCTGGGGGGCGGCCTGGAGCACCAGCCACTGCAGACTCGCCCGTGCGTCCACCCCTCCCTGGTTCCTCTACTGACAGCTGCCCTGTAAGGCAGGTACAAGACAACAGAACTGCCTACCAGTAGCTCTGCCCGTCACACAGTGTCGCACTGTCTGCTCATCATGGATACCCTGCTGTGGCGCCACAGATTTCACTGATACCTTCATCGTAGCCTTGCCTTGCCTCGCAGCCCACTTGCCCATCTACCCACTGTCTC